ATCATCTTTATTATAACCTATCCATCTAGGTAAGCACCTGTACTATAGCAATCACTTGATTAACCAACAACATCCAGTTACCAATTTAGATTTAGCATATCACATATTATCCAGATAACCATCATTGTTCCATAATAATTACTACGATGCCGTAGCTCGAGTCAAGTGCTCACTATCCAGGAGCGATGGCGATTCGAATCGATTCCTAACTAGCTGATGATTTATTCCTTACATAAACCTCACTCACCCGCTAAAGTGAGGTATCGGTCACCGAGTCAACTGTAACATCCCGGCCCAGGGCTTAACAGGATTAATAGGATACTCATACCAATAAGTTGCAACTTCTTTTCCGGAAGCCCATCTGCAAATAACTCCGAGGTTAAGCATGCTTGGCCTAGAGCGATGGGTGACCGACCGGGAAGTCCTTCCCGGGTGCGCACGAGTGAGGACAAAGTGCGCAGAAAAGACCTGTGTTGGTCTGTGAGGGCAATCTATATCCTAGAGAAGCTGCCAGATGTAAGTGGGCCCGGCCTCGGAGAGGCGGGACGTTACATCAACTATCTAGAAAAAATCTCGAGTTTGCCAGGAACCACATGTACCCGGGGGCCGACCGACTGCCTTTCGGTCTTATCATCGCGCCCCCGTGTCCTACCACACCTGCTCCGGTACAGTGCGCTGCGGACAATCTACTCGGCCCGAATAATCTCCCAGCTTCGCGGTCGAAAGGTGCTTTATTCGGCCAGCTAAATGTAAGGCATGCGTTCAACATGACCCGAGGCCCAACAACGGTCAGTCCTTAATCGACACAGATGGAAACTAACAGCACCCCAGAACCCTGTCTGGTTGCCTCCAACTTTTCCGTCCGGTCTCCAATTATCCATCACACATGGTTAATTCCAGGATATCATTCTTTCCATAACTAAATTCTTCCAGTAACCACCTATAATGTAGGTGACCGGATATCACCGATCGCTACCGGTCTAAGCAAGGCTAAGTAGTTATTCGATCCTGACCTAACAGGGTAAAAGGTAATAAGGTAGGCAAGGATAGTAATAAATGCATCAACGGTTTCAATCAACTCCTACAACTTAATGCAACAATATATAAACTCATATATATAGAAAGAATTGCTTTTATAAATTAGGAGACTTATAATGCTCTGGAGCTTGCCTGGGATCCGACACAAGTCAGTTCAGTTAGCTTGCACCGTCTTCGGGTTCGACTCCAACATCACGTCCTTCACGTGGTTCATCTAGCGTACCTAAATAAGATGCAAGATGCATGTGTATGAATGTGATGAATTATAACACAAGATGCATCACATAAGCATTCAAGACAAACACAAGATTATACAAGACATAGACACCAATAGCTATTTAACTAACCTCACACAACTAACTATAGAGAGCAAGCTATTCACATCAAACCAAACATCGAGATAGCAAGTACAACAAGCATGGCATATTAGTTTACTTACGTTCTATTCAGATTATTTTAACTTGCCAAGTTTAGACAACCTAATATACAATTGCTCATCTTCAGTTAAGGGCTTGGCACCTGCAACTAACAAGTTATCTTAATTAGCCTAGCCTCTAAATCATCACATCAACTCATATCAAGCAAACAAGTTATTCACGGCAATCACAGAGTCAAGGCTGCAACAACAGCAGCTAATTTTACTCATAACAGGAGTTATACTAATCCAAAAAGACATGCAACAAGACAATCTGAAAAGCTTATGAAATTTTCTACAATTCATCTTTAATCATCTTATCATGATTCTCAAGTTAACTAAGTCAAATATACTCATTTATAGAAACTGGTCCACAATTGACAGAGAGCAGCCATTTCTGACATCTAACTTTAAACAGGCATAACTCACAAACTACTTGGCCAAATGACACCAAATTTCAACAGTAGATAGATACATGAATTATATACAACTTCCTTATTATCATCTAGGTGTGATTCAAATCCTAACTAAATCAAACACTAGCATCTTTCAGATCTGCTCCGAATACAATCAAAACTTGACAGAAGACTTAAAAGTCAGGTAACTCCTAAACTATCAGGCCTATGGTCTTACAATTTGAACACAAGCAATATTATGAAATTTTATACAACTTTTGTATTCACTACAACCATAGCAAACATCATTTACACCACGAAAATGATTGCACAAGCCAAAACTGCAAATCCAGCCCAACAGCAGTGGTACAGAAAACTGATAGGAACTTCAGAGAAGCATAACTGGAGTTCTAGACCTCCAACAAATATGAACCATAACTTTTTGAAAATATTAGGAAGTTACCTACAACTTTCTTATTCTCATATTAAGATGATTCTATAGTTTGAAGGGTCAATTAATCCAATAATTGCACCTCTGTCCAAAACATAGACAAAAACTGACATGCCACTTTAAACAGCTATAAATGGAGTTATACATGTCCAATAAATGTGGTTCTAGACTTTTTAGAAAGCTTAGAAAATTATAAACAACTTTGTTGTAAACAGCTAAAGCTAATTCTACTACTAAGAAGGCCCCACAATAAGAACAAGGAAACCCTCTCTGGTTTTGGACAGAAACAGCCACAGAGATTTAAGCAAGTATAACTCAAGATATACTTAGCCAAAAATCATGATATTTAACTTTTTGGAAATCTTAAGAAAAGTACCACAACTCATATATTTTCACCAAGTCATGATTCATAACTTAACTGAGCCAATTAATTCAAACAAGCAGAACTGTTCATAGTAGAAGCAAAGCAATACAGGGCATTTGTTATTTTTTAACTCTTAAACTATAAATCCTAAGCTCCTGAAATTTTTATCAGACAACAACAATCACCTTAGTAGCACTCCACAAAAATTTCACATTTATTTGAGCATAAAAACTGCAGTTATGAACAAGACAAGACATGGCAAGTAACAGGAACCTAGCTGCATAGATCTATTTTTATAGTAAAATATTTAAACTAAAACATGCCACATTATAGATCTACTGCATAGACAATTTCACAAGGATTCCAAAAAGTCATCATTTTATATTTTATGATTTTTGTATGAATTACTATGAATTTTCAAAGTGGAGCATTCAAATCTGCAAAAAAAATCAGAGAAAGGAAATTTAAATCTTGCATCGAGGTCCCTGGAATTTACACAAATTAAACCCGACAAATATATCCTTACTGCACTATTCATTAGAGTCACTGTCTATTCACTTAACCCCCTCCCTTTGTTCAAATTTTTGCGCGAAGTCCTTGGCCTTCTTCATCCGGCCGGAAGCAGAGCAGTTCGTCGGCTCTCGCGTTTTCGGCCGCCGTGGTGCTCGCAGGAGGCAAACGATGGGTGGAGGAGCACCAAGGGACCACAGCGAACCTACTGGGTTGTTTTACATGGCCCGAATTGGGCCAGGGCGGCCTGGCCACGGCAGCGGCAAGCTCGGGCACTCCTCGGCCATGGCGGCGTCCGCGCACGACCGGCAGTGCAGCAGCGAGGCTAAGAGGCGGTGGCGGTAGACGGCACGAGCGTGGAGCTAGGCATAGGGAGGCCGAGGGGCAGCAGCACCTATAGCAGCAGCGGCAGCTCGAGCTTTGCCGCCCGGCAATGGCGGCCATGGCCGCAGCTCGGCGCAGAGCGGCTGGCGAAACTAGGAGCAGCAGCGCGAGAGAGAGGGAGGCGTGGGGCAGCTCTGGCGCACGGTTTTGGAGGAGCAGAGGGCGAGGTGGGACGCGCGGCAGCGGCGGGGGCGCATGGCGGCCACGTTCACAACACGCGTCGCCGTTCGGGCATTTCCCCGAGCACGTGGCGGGCGTCGGTGTGGGCAAGGTGGGCGCCGGATTGGGCCAGATCTGGGCCGATTTAGACCTCAGGCCCAAAACAAAGTTTGAAGCCCGCGAACTGCTCTACATTTTATATTTAAAGTGTACACTCATTAGAGTTGTAGATTAGCGGTTAATCAAGTCCAAAGTTGACACTGTCAACGTGTTGACAGCGGTTAAGTAAACACAAAAATTGATCGTCCAACCAAAGTCAAACTGGTGCTATGTTTTTGCACGCTCTTCTCCACAACGTATACTCTAACTTTTATCTTTGGACCAAATCGAGTTGCTTAACGAATATACGAGAACGCGACATGCCAACGCCGATGACGATGAATTCCTTAGAATAATTCTAAGTCTGAAAACAGTCGCTGATTCGATCTTCGAGCCTCTGTTTGACTTATTTCCAAGTTGATCTAGCTCTTGGTCCAAAAACAAAGTTTGTTATACATAACATGGACTACAACTTTTATTTAGGTTCCACTGCCATGGAAACACTCTGAGCTGTAGTTCAAACCATGTCAACGCAGCATCACGATAAAGCTTAAATTATCCTTCGTGATCCATTGAAACATTTTCTTGGCATTTTCTCAATATGAACCTTTCATGACTTTTGTTGTAGAGTTCATCTAGAGTCATTTGGGCATGGTTGTAAGATTTGGTTGACGATCGAGAATTCCATTCACTTTATAAAATAATTCAAGCAAGGACATAACTCGTCATTTTATGTGACCTCTTGATTCCAAACTTCACGAAACTTTTCCATTGATCAATATAGATGGGTATTGATGTGAGACACACGAAGATATTCCAATAACACCAGCCAAGCATATATCTTGAAAAGGGCCTATATGTAAAGCAAGGGTGCAATATCCAAGTTGAGGTTGGGGCTCATTTCCATAGGTTTGACCTTGCCATCTTCATCATCACTTAACATGCTATGTTTGAGCTCAAACCCATTGCTTAACTAGTGGCAAATACCTGGGGTGTTACAGTGTTCGGCAGCGCGCGAACTCGGCCGCTGCAGCAGCCGACCGGCGTCCCCAGTGCACCAACACGGCTTCCCGTGGCAGCGGTGGCCAGGGCGTACCGCTTCCCCGAGCACCGAGGGCACCGAGGAGTGGCGTCCATGGGCAAGCATCTGGCTCTGGCGCTACCTTCGACATTGACGATGAAGCAATGGAGGATAACATGGAGGAGTTAGCGAGCTCCGGCGGTCCCCCGGTGAGCCATGCCAGTCGAGCCCAATGGAATGATGCAAATAATGCTTGCTTGTTAGAATTGTGCATAGAGCAACATAGAGCAGGAACGTATAATGGTTCACAAATGAGTGGTGAAGGGTACCAAGCCGTTGTCGATGGCTTACTTGCCAGAAGAAGGTTGGTGTACACCCGTGGACAAGTGAAGAACCAAATAGGCGTACTCAAAAACACCCACGCTTTCTGGCGCTACTTGCAAACGCACACAGGGTTGGGGAGGAGACCAGATGGATCCATTGATGCAGATCATGATTTCTAGCTAACTCACACAGAGGTACAATATTCCTTAGCATATTTTTGTGCTCTCATATCTTAACTAGTATTAACTAGTATGCTTGGTTACTCTATGCTTGCTTCAAATTTGATCAATGCAAGTCGTTGCACATAGGAACTTATCACTGTCTTCTGTTTTACTTGGCTGTACATGCTGTTATCCTTTCGTTTGGACTGTCTTCTGTTTTACTTGGCTGTACATTAGTGAGTGTGAACTGCAGCAACAGCTAGTGCGTGTGAAAAAATGATGCTTGTGCTATGTTGTGGTGCCTGATTATACATCTTTATTGTAAACAGCTGATATTCTCCTGTCATAACTAGTTTCTAATCAACTTTTGTGCTCTCATATCTTAACAGAAAAAACCATACTTAAAGAAGCTGCTGACGAGTCCTCCAGCAAACGAGGACTTGCTTGATGAACTGTTCAGAGGGTACACTGTGGATGGCACCACAGCCTTTGTGCATGGTGATGATTATGGTGACAATGAGGGGCAAGATGCAAGGACAGAAGATGAAGAAGAAGAAGAGTTTGCACAAACACCTACAAGTAGAAGCAGCCAGAGGAGCCAAAGGGGCAAGAGGGCATTGAACAGCACTACAAGCACTTTGACCAGTCCAGTGAAGAGGAGCAAGAGCCCAATGGTGAAGATTGTGAAGGACATAGCCAGTACCTTCAAAGAATCTGTCGTAGCCAACACTAAGCAAATCCAGAAACGTGCAAATGACAAGGCTGCATTTTCTGTCAAGAGGTGTCAGGAGCTGGCATTTGAGTGTGGCGTTGAGAAAACCGTTGACTATGTCTATGCTATGTCCAAGATGTTCGAAACTAAGTACCAAAGGGAGTTCTTCTGTGGCTAGTTAACTCCTGAGCTTAGGTTGGGTTACTTCAAGAAATGGTGCAGGGACAATAATTTGGAGTAGTTAGGATCTTTTGGGTCCATGTGTGTTGAACCTATCGTCTATGTGTGAGGTGTTGAACTATTATATATGCGTGTGAACTATTATCTATGTGGTGTAATGATCCTTTATGCTATGTGTTGAATCTATTTAAATTAATCTATGAGCTGTGATGTCAAGTGTTGAAGTATTAATTTGTTGAATTAATTTGCTTACCCTGGTTCAAGTTTTATGCTATGTGCTGATAGTTTGTTACATGTGTTGAAGCAGGAAGATGATCATGGCCCCATGATTGAGGAAGAAGAAGATGATGGAGGCAGCTCAAGTGAGGATGAAATTATATCCATGTGCCGCAACAATTTGGTGCAGCAACAAAATTTGATTCTGCAGTTGGTTCCTATCTTGAGTATGTACTCTGATAACTACTTCCTGAAACTACATAAGAGGGTCACTAGAGATTCTGGTTTGAATTGGGTGCATGAGACACTAGCCCAAGAAACCCAATGTTAGAACATGTTTAGGGTTGAGAGACCTTTATTTTACAGGTTGCATAATACTTTGGTCCAGAGGTATGGGTTGAAGTCCACTAAAAAATGACATCTGTAGAGGCTCTTGCTATGTTTTTATGGATTGTTGGTGCACCACAGTCAGTTAGACAGGCTGATAATCGTTTTAGGAGGTCTCTGGAGACAGTAAGCAGGACATTTAACAGAGTTTTGAGATGCCTCCTTAGGTTAGCACATAACAATATTAAACCCAAGGACCCAACATTTCCAGAAGTGCACCAAAGCTTAGAAAATCCAGTATTCTGGCCACACTTCAACGAGTGCATAGGAGCTATAGATGGGACACATGTGAAGGTTGTGGTGGATAAGAGTAAGAGAGTTTCATATTTGAACAGGCACAATGAGACCAGTCAGAATGTGCTTGCTGTTTGTGATTTCGACATGAGATTTATCTTTGTGTTGTCGGGATGGCCTGATTCAGCACATGACATGAGAGTTTTCAAAGATGCCATAACTACTCATCATCACAAATTTTCACATCCACCACCAGGTTTGCTACTTGAACTTTCTTGCAAATTTTTTTATCCAATTACACTTGTTCATCTAAGTCTCATTGTGTGCATTTGAAAATATGTAGGGAAGTATTATGTGGTTGATGCGGGGTACCCAAACCGGCCGGGCTACCTTTCACCATACAAATGTACAAGGTACCATGTGGAGCAATGGCAAAACGGCCCGCCGCCACAAGATATGAAAGAAACCTTCAACCATGCACATGCCAAAGTTAGAAATGTCATAGAGCGAACTTTTGGAGTGTTGAAGATGAAGTTTAGAATTTTGTTGAATATGCCAAGATTTCCAGAGGAGAAGTAAACTAGAATTATTGTTGCTTGTATGGTTCTTCATAATTTTATTCAAGAGAGCAGAATTGCGGATAGAGAATTTGATGCCTGTGATGCGGATGAAAATTATAACCCAATGTCTAGTTCTTCGGCATCAGCATGGCCAGAAGATGAACCTTTTGTTGAAGATGTCAACATGAATGCCTTCCGTGATGAATTAGCTCATGCTTTGTTTCATGGAGTGTAATTTTTTTGTTTAGCTTGATTGAGGACTTGTAAGTTTGAGTGACACATCTCATATGTATGGACAAATTAAAATTTATTGTGATTAGGATGCTTGATTTGTAAAAATAATGTATTTGTATCATTTGTGTGTGGGAGGAGGCCACACAAGAGCCTGCCATACCAAATTCGACTGAAAAGATGGTTTAAATAAGCCAAATAATTAGAAAAATACATTTATTATTAATCTAATCCTTACATCCAAACATCTCTTAGACTAAAGTTAATTCAAAACTAGTGTAGAGCTAGAAACTACCTCTAACCTATAGCTTATCAAGGCCTATAACTCGAGCCCGAGTTTGTATCGAGCTTTTAGCCATCCGATCCGAAATCTGGAAGCCTCACGCGCCGCCGGTCGGCTCGAGTTAGCGGCTGAGCTCGAGCTGGGCAACCAGGCTCCCTCGACCTCGGCTCGTCGACAGCCGAACCCATCGTCTCACCCCGCTCACTCACGCCGAACCCAGAAGCCGCCGACCCCTTTCCCGCCGCACGGATCCAAAACCCTAGGGGCCCCGCCTCGGCGTTTTTCCCCTCCCGGCGACGGCGAGGCGGCGGAGATGATGCAGCAGCAGCAGCAGCTGCCACCTCCGCCGCAGCACCCGCCGCCCCAGGCCGGCGGCGGTGGCGGCGGGGAGTTCTACCGCGGCCCGCCGATGCGGCAGCTGTCCGCGGCGTCCTCCACCAATCTTCCGCCTGACTACGCCGCACACCCGGGCCCCCCGCCACAGCAGCAGCACCAGCCTCCTTATGACGGTAACAGCTAAACATCTCATTGATTGGTAGTCTCTGTTCCATTCAGGGTCAGGAGAAGAGTAGCTAGATGCCCATATTAGGTTGCAGGTATTGCCTTATTACTATCAGTCCGTCTTAACTTAAGAGTGTGAGCCCAACTGCCACTTACAAGTTAAACATACGGGGAGTTCCTTGTGATTTAACTGTAGACTTTTTGGTCCTCCTTATCTTATCATAACTACACAAATCACATTGTAATTTTGTTTCTCTGCAGCTTATGGTGACAATTTTGGTGCTAAAAGGATGCGGAAGCCTGTCCAGCGACGAACAGTGGACTACACAAGCAGTGTTGTCCGTCATGTTCAGGTATTGTGGATTGCTAAATTTTTTTAGGGAGAATTGTTTGTTGGACATCAAAGTGATGGTCATTTGCTGTCGGACAACCACTTTTTAGCATTTTGCCCGAAGACACTCTGGTTCGGTGAAATTATGCCACAAGACACTGCGGACCGGTTGCAACCGGTTGAGGAGAGAGAACAGCGGTGAAATGACATTCTCTCTCTCTTTCTTTTTTTTTTTCTGTTTCCTATCCCCGCCACCCTCTCCGCCTCCCGCACCCTTCTCTCTCCCTTGCTCCGGCGCCGCACCCCCGGCACCCGGGCCCGCGCCTCCGACGTCCGTGGCTCTGCACCCGGGACCGCGCCTCCGACGTCCGTGCCCTGGCGCCCGCGCTCCGGCCTCGCGCCTCCGGGCCCTGCGTGCTCGGGCCACCCACCCCCCCCTAACGCGCGACGAGCCACGCTCGGCGGTTGTGCCTCAGAGGGCGGGTCGCGCGTTCTCCTCCTGCTCTCTCTCAGTGGGCTGCGACGGCGTGATGCGCGACGGCGGTGCGGCGAGGGGTGACGCGCAGCTGGCTGGGCCACGGCATGGCGGCGGCGCCGAGCAGGTCCCCCGACGCAACGCAATGGCTGCGATGGCGGGCGGCGGAGGGGGCGGCGCGAGAAGGGGCCGTGGGCGGCGGGCAGGCTGCGCGCCGGTGGCGGCAGTAGTAGGGTTGGCCAGCGGGGCGTGGCGCGACACACCATGGCGCTCCTATCGCCGCAGCAGCAGCGTGGGTGGCTGCTCGCCGCGTGGCGCTTCGTGGTCGCGATAGAGGCTCGCCACCGCTTCAAGAAGCCCGCATGGTTGTGGCAGCTCGCCACTGGCCTCTGGCGCGCTGCGTGGGCGGGCCGGTCGATGGCGGTGGTGGCTGCTTTTCGAAGAATGGAAGAAGAGAAGAGGAGTAAGAAGAAGATGACAGGTGGGGCCCGCGCGTCAGTGAAAGGAAGAGGGGCGGACCCAACTGTGGCTCAAGGGCACCGGATGTCCAAAACGAAATTTTCTCTCTCAACCGGCTGCAACCGGTCCGCGGTGTCCTGTGGCCTAATTTCATCGAACCAGAGTGTCTTCTGGCAAACTGCTCAAAACGGGGTGTCCGCCAACAAATGACCATCACTTTGGATGTCCAACAGATAATTATCCCTTTTTTTATGTTTGTATATCCATAATGATACAGGGTTTATTTAGGATTAGGAGCGCTCCGAAATGTTGGTCCTTTATGTTTTTTTTGGCTTGAATTTGTAATGCATGCTTATCATCTGGTACCTGCAGTTTCCTTCCCATCAGTAGTGCTGACTTCCACTATGTACAATTGCAGGCTCGCATGTGGCAGCGGGACACTAGGGACAGATTCACATTGCAGCCAACTCCAGCTGCTGTCCTGGATGTATGTTCCTTGACTCGCAATATATTAAAAAGATGGAGCAGTAGTTGCTTATGCTATGAATATTGATTGGTTTAAGACTTTAAGCTTTAGAAGATAGTACCTATGCTATGATAAATACCTTTATCTGTATGAAACCATGAACAATCAGATGTTATACGAAATTCTTATGGATTAAAGTGTTAAATGTGCATCTAGCTAGCATACAATGGGCACAATACTATTGTGCACCATAATACCAAAGTTCGATAAAACAGTGCATACGAATGATTATCATGCTATTAATTCGTCTATTAATCTTAGCATGGATAGTGTACTCTATGTTATGCAGAAAATCCTGTTAATCCTAATAACTAATCAAAGATCTTGATGACTACTTCTTGTTACAAACATATTTTGATAGCTGTGACAATTGCAGATGTTACCGTCTGTCGCATATCCAGACAATCCCTCCACAAGTTTTGCTGCCAAATTTGTACATTCATCAATCAATAAGAACCGGTGCTCTATTAACCGTGTTTTGGTGAGTAACTGAGTATTGGAAAACCTAATTTTCTGCTTTCCCAATAATCCACATTGAATATTTCGCTGTTGTACATACTTGTATTTCTCAGAAGCAATGGTTTTGCTGTTCATTATACATAAATGCAATACCAAGTGATATTTTTATGTATGCCATGATATATACATATGAAAAATAAATAAATGCTCTATGAAGGCATGGTGGCAAAAGGAAAGGAAAAAAAATTCTTATAGTAGAGATACACTATAGAAGAAACTTGAGCCATCTGAGAGACACTTTTATCCTACATGATTGCAGCAAAATATCATCTTGAA